AGGGTAGAACTGCGCAATTTTCACCGATATCTTGTCCATTGTCACAATTACCCGCAAGTTTGTCAAGAAAACTACAATCTATTAATGAAATATAGTTAAATATCAAATAGATTAAAATATTTATGAAAATTTTAATATTGACCTGCGTGAATTTGTGTATTGTAAAAAATACAGATGATTAAGAACAAGATAAAAATTTTAATCATTTTTTTTTGATTAATAATTGACTTTCAGTAAAATTAAGTGTTTATATAGTTATTATTAATTGATTTTTATTATAAATAAACAAAATTTTTTTTCTGATATATTAAAAATGTCAGTAAATAAAAAACAAAAACAAGATAAAGAAATATCGATAAAAGAAAGAAATTCGATATTTGATTTTTCAGGAGAATTTTCGAATGTGAGTTCTTCACTAAGTATCTGATTCATTTATGTACTTTATCATAAGTGACGCTGTCTTTAGTAAAATGAGATGTATTCATGTTCATTGATGCATTGATGAACGAGATGTAAGATGAATTACATGAATGTTTAAATTTGTATCTTGTTATAAGTTACGCTGTTTTGAGTAGGATAAAGTGTATTCCGGGTTTTCAAGGTACATGGATGAAAAAAATGTAAAACAAGATATGATTACTTATATTTTATTTTTTTTTTAGCTTTCTTTAGATGAAAAGAAAAAAACTTATTTGATATTAATCAAGTATCTATTGATTAAAAATAGAATCAATATTAAAAGAATTGAAAATGAAAGATTAATTGGGAATTACAAAAATATTGGTCTAAATGTCAAATGTTTATTTAGACAAAGTTGTTATATGATTATGAAGAATGATGTTAAGAAATTTGAAAAAGAATTAAATGAAGAAAATGGAATAATTGGATTTTTAGTTTCTAATGTATATATTTCTGATGAAGCTATTGAACGAGTTAAGAATAATGATAAAATTTATTTATGTCATGAGAATGAATTAGTGAATGATATCAAGGTTGTTAAAAATCTCAAATATAATAGTCTAAAAGATATTACGGAAGAATTGGATTTAAATGATGGTGATTCAGAATTAAAATATTTAATTGAAGAAATTAATTTTTTAGATGATTTTCAAAATTTTATAAGTGAACGTAAAGAGTTATTTTTAAATAAAATAAAAACAAAGATTTTATTTTAATGTAAACTTATATAAATATTTTTTTATTAAATATAATTAAAATTAATTATGCATGATTAAACACGGAGTTAATGTATTTGATTTACTATGAAATTACTTGATTTGTAATGATTGTGAGTTTAATACATTTTTTAAATTACTTACATAAACCAATGAATAATATGAACATATCTTTGTACATGATCATCCAAATTTTATGATATATAGGATTTTGTTCGACAAACAATTTTTGTAAAAAAAATTCATCCTTTTAAAAATCTCAAAAATTTTTACATATTATTAATTATAAAAATTGTAACCATGTCTCAACGTACAAGTGTATCAAATATAAGCAGATCCTCATCTTTACAAGTTAAGGTTGATAATCCACCAACGTACGAAGAAGCTGTTGCGGAAACACTAGATTCTAGACGTAGAGGTATAAAATTACAATTTGTTTTCTTTATTTTGAATTTTTTTTTAAAAATTTAACATATTAAAAAATATAAATAAAATATTTCAGGATCGCAAAATACTATTTCCTATTCAGAAATCGAAGAAGGTAAAAATCAAAATTAATTGTGTTATTTATTTAACTTTATTAATGTAATTTGTTATAGAATATAATAATTATTTAAGTGAAAGAGCAATGCACCATTTCGAAACTTATGAAAGAAGAATTAAAAAAATAGAAATGAACGTTAATAAATATAAAATTATATCTTTATTTCTTTTTGTTTTATTTTTTATTTTTCTTATTTTATTCGGTATTTCTTGTTATTATTCGTACATAGTACACAATATGAACATTCTATTACTTAAAGAAAGTGTTGGAGTAGAGATGAAAAAAGTACTTTTTAATGAGAATTTAGATAGAATTATTAATTTTTTAGATTCACATAGGATGAAATAATAAAGTTTTTCTTGATCGATTTTTGAATAGGAAATAGTATTTTCTATTTGAAGATCGACCAAGTAGAATTTTATTTTTTTTGTTTAATAAATAAATGTTTTAAAATAAAAATTTTATTTATAATAAAGTTAAAATATTTACAAAGAAAAAAATATATAAATACAAGAATTAAAATTCAATTTTGTTTCGTTTTAATTTTTTAAAACCTTCAACGATGGTCTCTATTATTACACTCTCTCTTTCAATATTTACATTCTCTCTTTCAATAAGTTTTATGTAAAAATTTCTACTCATGTAAAAATACCAAGCTACCAAAATAGAAATTATACAAAGAACCAAAGCAAAAATGAAAAGAGTTTTGTAAATATTCTTTATTTCCATATCGTAGTTAACTTGACTCTGAGTTATTGTTCTAAGATGGATAATTTAAATATTAAAATTTTTATAATGATGATAAAAAATTATTTTATTTAATTACAAACCTCTGAGAGTCAGATAAATTATTTGAATTATTTTGTAATTCTGGAGATTGTGAATTTTCTTCAGAATTTTCTTGTTCAGAATCTTCGTGTTCTGTTTTTTTTAAATTTTTTTTTAGTTTTTCTTGATTTAAAATTTTTTCTAGTTTAATTTGCTGATTTATAACTTCTTGAGCGAGTTCAATGATAATTTTATCTTTTTTGTTATTATCAAAATTTTGTATTTTTTCCATTGATGATTTTTTTAAAGATAGTAACGATAGATGAACAGACTTAAATACCAAATATCATATAATCATCAGCATCTTCTTGATTGTTTGAATAATTACCATCTCGGTTTCTATAGATGCTAAGTTGTGTCTTTTAGGATTTCTTGTTTTCTTGTGTCGACATTTTTGTTTTGAAAGTTTAAAGTTTGTACAAAGGAAAAAGTTTTTGATATTTTGTAAAATTCCAAATTAAAAAATTAAATTTGTTCGTACATAATCTCAAAAAGAACGTATTAATAATTAAAATTCTGTGATTCTTTTGTTCTAAGATTCCAAATTGCCAAGAATTGATGATCATTTATCAATTAATCATTATAATGATTTTGTACATGTGAATTAATTAATGATCTTCTACAACTTTCGATAAAGGATCATAGAAACTCTACCAAAAGTTGAAGAAGATCATCAATTGACTTTGTAAAGTTTTTAGTATTACTTGTTTATTTATATTTATTTATATAATTGTAAATAAATTATATAATATTTATTAACCCCAAAAATTGGGTGAATATTTTAAGATTTGTTGATAATCATCTGAATAAAATTCCAAGATTCTATTTTACCAAGGATCGATAATTATTTATTAGTTAGATCAAGTAAAGATTATAATTTTGTACGTGTAAAATTTTTAGTAATTATTAAGATTATCAACTTTCCCCAAAAATTGAGTAAAAATAAACAAAGTCACATTTAAATTTTCGAATAAACTTTTTTTGAATACAGAATAGATTCTTTGAACAAATACCAAAAATAAAGTTATAAAAATATTCAAATTATTAATATGAGAACAATCTAAAAAAAAATTAATTATTTTCTTTTTTTTTAATAATGCCTTCTATTCGAAAACTTTCTTTCTCAAATTTAAAAAAATATTTTACAAAATTTTTATCAAACAACAAATACAAAAAGTTTCTTTTAAAAATGGTAACTCCAAATCAACCTGGTTTTAAATATTTGTACTTCTTTAAAGAAGAATTTCAAGCAGATATGTCAGAGATTCTTAGAGAAGGACCTACTGTACGTCGAGTAGTTGAGATTATTACACAAAATATTGATTTCTATCCAAATATACTTGCAGAATATAAAATTAAATCAATACGTTTTGATCAAATACAAAGTTTTGATCTAGAAATACCAGATGAGAATGATTGGGAACCTGTAGGTGAAGAGTGGTTTAAGATAAAAGATCTATTATATTTTATAGGAAAAAATTTTTCATATTATAAATTTATGTAATTTTATTTTTTGATTATTAATCAGCTTTATTTATATTTATTTATGTATCAATTTTATATTTAATCTGTATATATTATCATTTTAATAAATTTATCGTTATCATAATTATCAATGATATCATTATACATTATTTTAAATTTTTAGAAATTGATCATCATTTTATATGTATTAATTTATAATATAAATATAAATTAATTGTTTTAAATTTTAATACGTTCGAAAAATCTAAATTTGTAAAGTAAGTATTAATTATTTTATTATAGTTTATAAATATTATTAAAGATAATTTTGTATTTTAGATATGACTTCAAATTACCGTAAACAAGAGAGAAATGTTTTACAAGAAAATAATTTGAATTTTTTAAAAACTATTATTCTTATTGATAAGAAATTCATGACAAATCTCATAATGATTTTTTTAGTAATTTTGATAATCTTTTCTGTTACGATGATTATTTCATTCTATATTTTTTCGATTTGTTACAAAGAAATTATCGAGTAATGTGATATCATTTTATTGAGTAAAAAATAAATACAAAATTTATGAATATAAAATTTTAGATTTTTTTATTATATATAATTTATTATTATTGTATTAATAAATAATATTACATAATATAATATAATATTTACAAATTATTAATTAATGAAATATATAAATAAATATTTTTTACTTTAAAAATAATTATGGATATTATCAACAATATCGATAAATCTGAAAAAGTAAATATTTACTTAGTATTACATGATAAATGTATGTGTGATATAAGTTATGCAGTGGAGAATGAGTTCTATGGCTGTCGAAACATTTTGTTTACTGGTAGAAAATCGCCCATGTTAATTACACATATAGTTATGAAATGAATACGATTGGAAAATTTCTAACTATGAACATGATGAGACATGATATGCTAATATATTTTATTTATTTAGATTTATTTAAAATTAAATGAAAAAGATCCTTGTTTATTGTTTAAGAATAAAATTGTTAATTCTTTATATGATGAATATGATATAAATGAAAATTTTATTAAAAAATATATTCGTGATGATAAGGATAAGGATATTATGGTTAGTAAGGAAGATGTTGAAAAATTAATTTCTTGTAAATTTAGAGATAAGAGAAATATTGGATTTAATGATATTGAAAGAACAGCAGTTACATCATATTATTATGGTGTTCAGGGTGTTGTAGTAACAAATTTAGATTATTCACCAAAAGCAAAAAAATATGCTTCTAAATATAATATTATTTTATCTCATTCATCAAATCTTAAACGTAGATTAAATCATTTTATTCAAAAAGAATTAGATGAAAAGGAATTTAATATTTTATATGATTTTTTAAAAGAATAGATAATTTATTTTAGGATAGGTTAAAGTTTTCATATTTTTTAAACATTGATTTTTTAATAAAAAAAAAAAATTATTTTTTTTATAAAAGTTAAATTATTAATAATTTCATTATATTTTTTTTGATAAAATTAATTAATCAATAAATTAGAATTTTGAAAAAAAAATCTCTGAGAGATTTAAATTGAGATTTTTTAACGAGTAGAATAAACATTTTTTTGAGCAAATTCCTAGGAGATTTAAACTAGGATTGAAGGAAAATTCAAATAATTTGTATATTTTTAAATTTTCGATAGTTACATTTATATATTTATAAATTATTTTTATTATATAATTATTTTATTAAATAAAGTTTGATATATATTTAGCCTTTACAAAAAATGTAAAGTTTCTAGTCTCACCACGAAGAGGTAATATATCTTGAGACCAAAATTTTTATGAGGAGCGCAAATTCAAGGGAGAAATTATATCGAGACCCTAACTCATTTTAGATATATTCCTTATTGCCTACTCATCCATTTATAACCCAGATGCAGATTTGTTATAGCTGATTATCCTCTGCGCATCAGGAGTCCATATGAGAGAAGCTCATACGTCTTTGTTTGAAATTCTTTTCTTATATTTAGTCAAACAAGAAAATATAGAGAGAATTACTCTAACAGAAGTCATTTCTGTTCTCAAAAAAAACTAAAGACACTATTTTTCTCGTTCAGTGTAGAGGAATACACTATGGCTGAAAAATATTAGAACTATCTGAAGCGTATTTATTTTCAATGATCAATTCTACTTCTATACTATAATTTCATTTACGATAATATTACCAAAAGTATGCTTTAGTATAGTTTAGACTCAAAGTTATTATGTACTTCACCGACAAAAAGTCAGCTTCTCTCTTTGAGATTTACTACAGCCTGGTTTAAATTTTGGAATTACATATTATGTACATAAACAAAAAATGTGTATTTCATCAAAGTAGAAAAAGATGAAAAATCCTAAAAATTAGAAATTCACGATATAAGTAAAAAAAATATTTGTAGTACAAATTTGTAATCATCAGATGATGAGTCAATAATTATAGATTTAGAAATGATTTTCTTTATCAATTTGAATTTTAAATAAAATCGAATAAGGAATATCTATTGATAGATAAGAAATATGTTCTAAAATTTGAAAATTCGAATGTATTACAAATTACAAATTAATTATTAATAGGAATATGTATTCCGTAAACAAAATTTATTAAATTATTTATAAGAAAAATCACATGATTTTTTAATTAGTTAATATGATTTAAACAAAAATCTTCTGATTTTAAGAAAGTAATTTCGATTAAAGTGAAGGTTAAAATAATTGGTATGATAATTTCATTTTGTATATATAACAAAAAGACAATAGTTAAAAATAAAATCTGAAAAATATATTTTAAAAGATTGTATCTATAATTAAACATTATTCTTTTATGTTGTTCTTCGATATTTTTCTTTAAGAGTTTATTTTCGTATTGTAAGAATTTATTTTCGTATTGTAAGATTTCATTATTGATAAGTAAACTTGTATTTTGTTTAATATGGTATTTTGTTATTGGATATATTTTTTTCATATTTTTTTAAGTTGTTTAAAATACTTTAGTTTTTTTTATTCGTTAATTACTATACATTTATAATATAATTTGTTACTAATTAATTTATTTATATAATTAGTAATCATAAATTTTTTTTATAGTTTAATTTGTTTGTATATAGATGTATATGATTTTATCAATGATATTTGTGTAATTGATGTACGAATTAAATTTGTTTGAATATTAAATAATTTAATATATGTGTTATTGTAAATTTTTTTGATAAATATAAGTTTTTTCTAACATGTAGAATTTTTTTTATCTTTTCGTTAAACAATTTTGATGATGGTATATTTGGTTTCGGCTGCGGGTCTGTCGGTAAACCTTGATCCGATTCTGATGTAAACTTAGAAATTGTTGAAAAGATCAGATGTTTCTTTATTTGAAAAAGATTGTCGGTATACTTTGCAAACGAGATAATTCTGAATGTATCTTTTGGTAATGAGGATTATTTTGTCACGGATTAGTGTCTACGAAAGTATTATCACACTCACAGAAATCTTTACGTATTTTTTTCATGTTCATGAGAAATTGCCTTTACGTGGCGAACATGATGAGTAGATACAAATTTTGTATCGAAACTAAAATTTCTCAAATAAATATATAAATAAATAAAGAAATAAATAATTTAAAAATATTATATTATTAATTAAATAGATTTTAAGATAAATAAATATATCGAATAAGATTTTAAAGTAATTAAATATATAATATATCCAAACTTAAAAATAAATGATAGATAATATTCTATCTCTGTTAAAAGATCGATAAAAAAGTATTTTACATTGATTAAAAATATTTTAAATTTTAAATACATTTTTATTTGCTAAAAGAATATTTATTTTAAAGAAGAATCCAAGAATTAAAGAAAAATAATTAAATTTTATTTGATATTTATTAAAAAAAAGTATTATTAATTTAAGTTAATATTATATTCTTTATCTCCTATTTTTAATTTTATTATTTTTACGTTACTGTATTCTATGCATTTATTTGCTATCATTTCTACATCACAATTGAATTTTTGAGATTGTATTTTTATGTAAAATAAATTTTTCAGATGTTTCAGTATCAAATTGATATTTTCGATTTTGTAAATACAGTTAATTAAAGTGAGAAATCGAAGGCTGTGTAATTTAATGATGTTATCACATAAGTTTTTTTTTGCGTTATTTTTTAATCTGAGTTTTGTTAGGTTTATATTCGAAACTTTATCGAAAAAAAAAGGAAAATTATTATGGAGTTCTACGTTTGATAACATCATACCTTTTAGGTTTTTAAGATATTTATGTTTTAACTTGTTTAAATTGAAATTTGTTCGACGAAGAGATAAGTAAATATTGTGTTTTCTAATGTAACTATTCAAGGTTCTGATATTATCAAAAGATTCAAAAATGTAAATATAATCGATTTTTTTCGAAGATCTGAATAAAAGATTGATTATATGGTAAATATTCTTATTCTTATTTTCAAATATTTTTTTGATCTGAAAAATATCTATTTTTTTTATGAATGAGAGATATTCAAAAAGAGGACGGTGTATTTCCATTTTATTGAGATTAATTTTCATTATTCGTGATTCGGTATTTAACAATTTATAATAAATGATATTTTTCAAAGAATTGAAATTGGGATTGTTTTTATAGTATCTGAATGGATCTTGCCAGAGTATTGGCATCGCGATCCTTGCCCAAGTTCTAGACACCAAAGTAAATTTTAAGAGGGATATGTTCATGTTGTAAAGATACGTAAATATTCCTATCATTACTTCAGTAGGAAACATATTGTTATAGAATAATTTTATTTGTGAATAAATTGAATTTTATTTATAATTTATTCGTATTAATAATTTAATATAAATAAGAGTTGAATTGTGAGAATAAATTAAATCATGGCTAATTTTGATTTTACTTTCAAATTAATAAGTGATAGGTAAAATTAATGATTATGGAATGATTGATGATTAATAATTAACAAGATTATGATTAATAATTCATAGGTTTCATTTCATCCAAGGACGAAAGATTGATGAGATGTCCACTAGTATATCAAATCAATTTTCTAAAGACTGGATGATGCCATGGGAAGGAACTACAAATTCTATTAGAATTCGAGATATTGTCATTGCTAGAGAATTATTAAATTATTTAGATAACGGTAAAGATAAGAATTAAAAAAAAATGTACAGTAGTAAAAAACCATGTGTTGGAGTTATTTATTATGGTTGGACTAACTGGCCAGGTGGATATCGTGATGAATGTTGTCAAGACGCGAATGAAAAATTTTATGAAAAATTAAACAAAGCAATCAATGAATATGAAAATAATGTAGCTGTAAATGAATATGTAACATGTAAAATTTAAAAGGTAATTTCCAAATCAAGAAATTATCAAAGAAGATTAATAATTTGAATAAGATATAAATTTGTTAGTTTTTTTATTCATGATTAAATGTTCCAAAATTATGAAATTAGATGAATTTTCAAATGAGGTTCTTGTTAATATTTTTAAACGTATCAAAAGTCTCATTAATGTGATAATGACTTGTAAAATATTTCAAGTACTCATTAAAGATCATCAGTCTAAAGCTGATTGGATTATTTTTCATCATAGGAAATATCATGCTCTTTTTTACACGATTTGATTAGGACCTAAATTTATTAATGTAGAAACTGCAAAAAGTATAATTAATAAGGGAGGAGTTATTTCTAGATATTTTATTCAAAGACTTCAATCATCGTTTGGTGATATTGATCCTGAATTATTTGATGAGAAAGCAAAACATATTCCAGATACAAAAGCAAATAAATATTAGTCTCATAATTTATCATTCTCTGTTTATATTTATCTTATGAATGAGGCATATATGATATATGGAGATTCTTTATACATTAAAGGAAATGATATGGAGTTATTTCATTTTCTTACTGGTGGACCACAAAATATTATTTTTGCTCCTGTTACAATTCATAAAAATATTGAAAAGATCAAAAAATTGATATTGGAATATAAATTTGCACCTTTTCCACTTAGAAATCGTAACAGTACTAGAGAAGAGGATGAAACATACCCTTCTTATGATGGATTTGAAAATAATAAACAACTTAATGTTATTGCTAGAAGTATATTATTAAATTTAACATTTGTTAAATATTGGAAAGAAATTGGATATTATAATGTTTGTGATCATCTTAATTCTTTAGTATTACAAGGTGCTTTTCTTATTCTCTTTCCACCAAATTCAGCAAGTTTTATTAATAGTAAAGAGTCTCTTGTAAAAAGGTTAAAAGAATTGATAGAAGTAGGATTTATCTTTAACGATAAAGTTATTTTTGATATTTTTTTACTTGAAGTAAATCATATTGATGTGATTGGTGATGTTATTTTCAGTTCTTTTGTAGAAATATTGAAATCTGATAATTTTAAAATAGTTCTTTATGATAAATTTATGACAGAAGCGAATGATGATTTAAGGATAAAATTGATTAATTTTATTTCAAAATATCATTAAGTTAAAATCACGAATTATTAATATAAAATTATGATAAGATTAAATTACTAATATGATTAAATATAAATAAGAAATAAATTTTATTCTAAGATTAAATAAAAATATATGATAAAATGTTTATTCCTAATGAAATAATATATATCATCATATCATATCTATATGATAAGAACGAATCTCTTTTTAATTACATATTTGTCTCTTGGGATTGGGCCAGAGTAGTTGTTCCGTTAGTTTGGGAGAATCCATTTAGACATTATAAAAACAATCCTAATATCGATTCTTTACGACAAGTCATTTGTTATCAATTTAAATTAAGAAAAGAATACTTAACGAAAAAAAATATTTTATAAAAAAACATGATTCTATTCTTTTTCCGTATCTTAAATATGTGAGAAAAATTAATACTTTTCAGATTGTGAAAGTATTTAATATAAAGTTTTGCAATGAAAGTATCATAGTAAAAGAAGTGATTGATTCATTATTTAAAACATCTACTTCGATTAAAAAAATCCATATTTGTTATGATTTTCGTAATGAGGAAAGCTTAAATGTGTATATAAAAAATCATAATGTTGATTTAACTTTGCATAAGACAAATTTAGGATTAAATCAATTCGAGAATTTTGAAAATATTACAAGTCTTAAAATAAAAGATGTTTATAGAGAAATAGTTTTACCTGAAATTTTTAGATTCGAAAATCTTGGATTTCTTATTTTGATTGATAGTTATTTATATGAAATTGATGATTATGTATGTATTATGGAAAAATTGAAAAAATTAATTTATTTCAAGATAATTTCTTTGAGAATCAAGGAAAATGATGCGATATATTAATTTGAGCAATCTTTAAAATATCAAAATATCAAGAAAATAGAAATAGGAAAATATGAAACAGTTCTTTATAAGGTTAATTAAGTTGAATCAATATATTTTGTAAAAATTGTTATTTTTTATTATATACTAAAGAAATAAATAATGTTTAAAACATATTTTGAAAAATTGGATCTGAATAGAGTTCACAATATTGTATGTTATACATTTTTTGATAATCTGTATTAATCATATTTTGTTGAAGATGTTGTGAAGAATAATCTTGAAAATGTAAATCATAATTATTGTTAATTTCTAAATTATATATATTTTTGTATTGGTTATATTCATTAAAAATATCAATTTCATTAGATTTCTGATTAAAGAAATCATCATCATAATTAATATATTTTTTATTACGATTTTTTTTATTTTTATTATTATTCTTAACAATAACTTGATTATTTTTAGGATATAATTCATTGAATCGTTTTGCAACTATATCCGCAAGTTTTTTATATTCTTCTCTTACGTGATTTTCTTCGCAGTACCAAGAATTAGCAATTTCACTAGAGAGAAAAGTCATTTGTGAAACTTCTCCGATTTTTGATTGATATTCTTTAACATAAATATTACGATAAATCAAAAAAGCATTAGGTGGTTTTTTTGGTATTTGACTATTCTTTTTAATTTTAAATAAATCATCTATATCATCAATGATTGGTGGAAACGGTAATTTTATAGATGAATCAGAAAAATTTTCATGGATAGAAAACACGTTCATTGTTAAGGAAATATTGAAATTTTTAATTTCTTTTATATTTTTTTTATTAATAATGGATATAAATAAATTTCATAATTCATATAAAAATAATCATAAATGATAAAAAAATAAATTTAACATATATTTCTTAATGATCATATTTTCTTAATTCGTTAATATGAAAATTAATCATGTATTGATGATTATTGATCATTTGTTTATGATAATTAATCATATTTATATTATTGTTTGGATTTGAAAAAAAATTAGTTCTATTATCATGAAAATTAATATTTTGATTATCATTATTGATATTATCATCATTAATATTATTCTTTTCTTTAAATTTAATTTCGTTTTTATATTGAATTTTATAAGGAATGGGCCATTTTTCATAGAATTTTTTTTCAATTTCTTTAGAGATTCTTTCATATTCATCTTTTATAAGTTTTGATTCTTTTCCCCAATATACACCAATCATTTTTGATAAAGTTATCATATGCAATTTTAAACCATGTTTTTGGATTTCTTTTTGAAATAATGTACGATAAATCAAGAAAGCATTAGGTAGTTTTTTAGGTTTTTCACCATTTTCTTTCAATTTAATAAAATCATCTATATTGAAAGATGGGGGAAATGGTAAATATATTTTATTTCGATCAGATGAATTAGCCATTGATGATTCAATTCAAATTCGGATTTCTTCATTTTATATCTTTATTTATTATTAATTTTATTACCAAATTATTAATATTTTATCATAGATTTATTTTCAGAGATCTTGATTCCGAGATTAATAATTTAGTTAAATAAAATATTTTTTTATTAATAATATGAAATTTATAAATAAAGAATTTATTTTATTAAATAGGTAATGTTAAAATGATTAATATATTTAATATATACGTTATACTCAAGAATATTGGTTTTTATTTTGAAAATGAAAATAAAACAATTCTTTTGAATTTGGGATTGGTCGATAAAAATTTCATGTATTATTTTATTCCGATGTTATGGAAAAAACACGCATATAATTACTATTCAAATAAACAAAGATATGTATATTACAATGGAAAAAAATTATTTCAAATTTTATATAATGGTTTAACAGAAGAATATCAAGAATTATTAATAAACAAAGAAATTTATAATAGTGATTGTGATCCATATGGTTTTGAAGAAAAATATAAAATTGACATTATGAAACAAAATTATATATTTAATTATGCGAGTTTTTTTAGTCAAATACCTTGTAATTTATTAGCAAATTTTATTAACGATGGTAAGGATAGAGATTATGTTATTAGTTTACTAATTACTTATTATTTTAAAAATATTTTAAATTAAATTTTATATATTATAAATATTAATTAATAATATGATTGAAAAAAATTTGTATTAATAATTTATATTAAATTTATAAATAAAGTATTTTTGTTTATTTTTGATATTAAAAATGTCTAAACGTAAATTAGAAATCGATGATTCACCTAATAAAAAATTTAAAATTACGATAATACCAACAGAAATAATTAAATTAGTTCTTGAAAATTATGAATTTGATGATTTCTTCGTAATCACGAGTTCCATCAAGATCTACAACTTCAACAACTCTATGAATTTCCAATTTAAATTTTTTTTCTTTGATGAAATTAAAAGTGATGTAAGTATTCTCAGCAAAGATAGAAAAAGAATGGAATTTTTTTAAATCATTATCATCTTTGATTAGAAAATATTGCTTATTTTCATTATTTTCGATTTGAAAATAATTTTGATTAATATTTTCTTGATTATTTCTTAAAACATCAAAAGTTTCTTTATTCATTTCGTTTAAATCTTGTTCAATTTTGTGATTCAAATCACTTAAAGACAATTTAATTTGATTATTTTCTTTAAGTGTAGGATTACCAAATTCTTTTTCAAGATCATTAGGCCAATTTTTATCAGATTTTTTATAAAAATTATTATTCATTTTTTCATTTTTAAAATAATTATTTTCTTTAAATCTTTGATATTCAAGAAAAGTTTTTTTATCTAAAAATTCTTCAAAATTACTTTTTTTATTAGATAAAGTTTTATCAAGAGACATTTTAATTTTTTTATGATAATATTTACTTTAAGAAAATTTTTATTTATTTATAAATTAATAAAAATTAATAATGTAAATATATAATATAATTTTTTCATTATTTTCATATTCAAACAAATTCAAATATGAGAAATAATAATTTTATAATAAAATTCGTAAATTTTATAAGATATTACACCATGTATATGGATTCAAGTAACCCCAGCTATTTTATAATAATAAAAAAATATAATGTTAAATAATAATAAAAATATTTTTTTATTGGTGTTGATTTTCTTACTTGGTCGGTATAAATATGTATTGAGGATTTGGCATAACAATGATCGGTGGTGTGTTAGTAGCAGGAGTTTGGTTTGGATTTTGATCATCTGGATTTTTATTTTTAGGATCTTCTTTATTCGGTTCTTTTGATTCAGGTGGTTTTTCATCAGATTTAGGAGGTTCAGGAGTATTTGGAGGATTCGAAGGAGCAGCAGGTGTATTAATAATTATAACTGGATTTTGTCCAGGTGTGATAACATATTCATAATCCATCTTATAAATTTTATTAATAATATTTTAAATATTTGACAGAATAATGATCTATTTATAATAAATCATCATATCAATTATTAATTATGAATATCAATATTTTAGTTAATAATTATATTATTAAATTATTAATATTTTAACATGAAATAAAAAGACAAATTGGAGATTTTATTTTGAATGATCATTATATAAACACATGATAAAAGTTTATGTATAATTTGTTAAAAAAATGTCTAATTTCGTTAATTTACCAAATGAGATACTTATCTATATTTTCTTATATTTAGAAAAGTTAAGAATCGTATTTACTTGTAGACGTTTTTATTATATTATCGATAATTCTTTCTTTAAATTTAGATGGCTTCTTTTGAATTATGAATATTTTTCAAAAAAGAGATTAGTTTTATTTGGAAAGACTTTCTTTAATATAGAACTTATTAAAATCATAATGGAAAATAAGAATAAATTCAATTATAGAATTGAAGGGATTTTATTACATGTTGCTATTAATTTACATCGAACAAAAGATGTTAAAAATCGAGTTAAAGCATTATCTATTTTTGAGATAATCGATTCTCTATATTGGTTGGGATATTATCATGAACATGGATATGGTGGTCTTGAAATCAATGATGAAAAAGCAATGAATTATTATAAGAAATCTGTGTATAGAGAAAATTATTACAAGAAATCCGTATATGGAAAAAATGAGATAAATGCTATGTGTAGATATGCGATTTATCTTATAAAGACATCCGAAAAGAAAGAAAATAGAGAAATCAAAGATAAAGAAATTCAATCAGAGATTACTTATTTATTTAGAAAGGCTGCAATATTGAATAATGATGATGGGCGTTATTATTATGGAGATATTATATTAAATGGAAAGTTAGGTAATGAAGTAAATATAATAGAAGGTATGAGATTCATAGATCAGGCTGTTAAAAATGGTCATGAGAAAGCTAAATTATTATCAAAAGAAATTTTCGAAAACTGGGATAAATTATTTATAAATTTATGATTTTTAGTTTGAATGATATCATATTATTATTTATGATTAATATTTTTTATTTAAGAAAATTACAATAAATTATGTAAAATATTTAAGAAATATATAAGTTTTAAATTATTAATAGGAATTAAAATTAGTAATTAAGATATAGATAAGATTTATGATAAATTAAAAAAAAAAATAAATTTATAAAAATTCGTTATATGAATTATTAATAAGAATAGATATAAAAATAAAGTAATTATGGTTTATGAAAATAAATTTTAAAATGAATTTCCCTAATGAAATAATGATATTAATATTTATGTATCTATACGATACAGATCTTTTTGATTGTCTTTTGGTTTCTAAGCGATGGGCCAATATTGCTATTCCTATACTTTGGGAGAATCCATTTAAATATTATGAAAATAACAAAATATCTTCTTTGAGAAAAGTTATTTGTTATATCATGGATATAAAAGAATATTCTTATAAAGAATATTTTTATAAAAATGAAATTCCGATAAAAGAACATTCTTCTATACTTTTTCCATATCTCGAATATGTGAAAAGAATTAATATTTATCATATCAGACAAGTATTTAACATAAAAATATGTAATGAAGATCTTATGGTTCATATTGTGATCATTTTATTATTTCTATTATCGAATATAATCGATAATATTTGTATTAACAGATGTTTTTACAATAGTGAAATTTTAAATCTGTATATGAAATATCATTGTGTTCATCTTGATTTGAATTCAGATTATTATTTAGATTTAGACGAACTTCAATATCTTCATAATTTAAAAGGTTTAACTTTAAACAGATTTTTTTATGGAAATGATATTTATTTAGATAGGGTTCCTAATATAATTACTCTCGAATTAAAGGATGTTTACAATGCAAGAATATCATATGATATTGTTAAATTACAAAATATCAAATTTCTCACGTTAATTGAATGTATTCATGATATTAATGATCTTGTATTCATCATGAAAGAATTAAAAAATTTAGTTTATTTTAAAATAATTCATTCAGAGATTAAAGACAGCGATATAAAATATTTATTTAATGAACATTCTAAATACAAAAATATTGAATATTTAGAAATTGGAAAATCGGAAATTCTTATTAATAATTAATAAAATACTATAATAAAAATATATAAATATGTAATGAAATTAAGAATAAATATCAAGAATTCATGATTTTCCATAATCTTTGATATTCGTTAATTTTTGTATTGTGATTACAATCACATGTTTGTTGTCTTTCTAATGATTTGTTTAAGAGTTTAAAATATTCATCTCGTTCGGAATAATACATGTAATTACATCTTTTAGTTAATGCTCCAATAGCATCATCAACAACATCTCTTTTCGTTTATTACATTTATTATTATTATTTGAAATTTTTACAATTTTTCGAGGTACTTTTTGAGGTTTTTTATTTTTGGAAAGAGAAAACATTTTACGTGTATAACTTGAAATCATAAAATATTTATATTTATTTAATTAATAATGATTGACATAAATTACTAATAAACTTAAGTAAATAAACTAATAAAGTCATCTGACTCAAATATAACATTTTTATTATAGTAAATTTTTGCTATCTTGACATCGTTATTTAATGAGATATAATAATCTCGAATTAAAAAAGAAGTATCTTCGTTACTACTAAAAGAAAAGAAAAATCCTAATTTAAATATATATTCTAATTTGATTTGTTCATCGTAATTGTAAACCACCATGTTAATACCCAATGGTTCTTTGACAAATTTAAAGATATAATAATTATTCGTATCAATCACATGATGAAAATTGAATTTTTTATTATCTTTTATCTCAATTATTCTTTTTTTAAAATTTGTTATCAAATTATTTCTTCTTTCCTTATCATGAATTACATATAAGCATCTACTAGCAAAATTTGTAAATTCATATCTTCTTTCCTTAATTTTATCTTGTGTAAGTATTAAATGTAATTAATTTGACATTATGAAATATCAATAAATTTTATATTTGTTTATTAAATATTTCTTGAATTTATCTGAGAATTTTCAATGAAAAAATATATCATTTTATAGATGTTGATTAATAAATATCAAACAATAAAATTCCGAAAAAGAATTCTAACACGGAATAA